CTCAAACCAGTGCTTCCCATGTAGAAACACAGGCTCAGGGTTGTCAGATCTTTTAACATATCCGAAAATTCTAGCTATCTTTTTTAAAATCACATCTCTGTTTGAAACTATTTGCAAGTAAGACAACTATTTTAAAATATAGAGGGTATCAAATAAAAACTGTGCATTAGGTGTGACTGTGGGTTGCCACTTGTACACCATGGATAAGGGAGTGAACTAATGAAGGGGTTCCAGGAAAAGATATTCAAATGGGCTGGTCAGAATTGAAGGTAGGGAAAATTTTCTCTGAGGTCAAAGAAAGAATTTCAGGAAGAAAATTGACTTCAGTAACAAAAACCACCAAGACTTTAGAAACCAAAAAATGACTGCAGAGTTCTGTTTTATTGCAGTCTGGTTTCCACTCCCATCACTAGACGTGGCCAGGTCCAGTTTTCCAGCCCAAGGAACCCTCCAGTCCTTTTTTGTTACTAAAAAACTGTTACTAGAAACTTTTTTTGTTGCTAGAAAACTGGACCTGGCCAAATCTAGTGATGGGATCCGAAACCAGACTGCAATAAAACAGGAAGTAACTTGAGGTGAGAAAACAGTCTAATATAAACCAATATTTTACATGCTTATCCAGGAAAGGAAGGAAAGAGTAAACTGAAAAAAAGCCCAAGATCAAACTTGTATTTAAAAAACAAGTTAAATGTATTTGTAATGGAGTTGAAAATTTAATGCACAGTATAATTTCTTTATTTGTTTGATTACTCTGGATAGCATTCCAGGTCCTCACCTGCTAGTTACTCTGTATGTGTGTATGTGTGGGTGGGTGGGTGGCTGGTATGTGTCAAAATCTGTTTAAAAATATTCTAATCCAGTAATTTAAGTAGTTCCTGTGAGCAGTATTTTAACACTTGTATCAAAAGGCTCAGTCTCTTGAATAACCTCTTCTCCCTCTGCACCTATACTGCAAATACTATCTCAGTGTGCTGGAGGAAGACAATTTGCAAAGAACAAAGGTTAGTGGTATAATGTACAACCTGAAGGGGTGCTGGAAGCTTTGAATAAACCCTCTGGGAAAATGAAGAGGAAGTTGACCAAGGAGAGGTCAAAGCAGCTGTTCAGAGGACCCAGCTGAAGCTGGGTGAATTTTAGTGGCAGGGTCCATTGGGCAAGAAGAGGAAGAGAAGTGGCTGGATTGACTTGTGACAAAGAATGTTTAGACAAATGTGAAAAGAAAGGACAGGGAACAAAGAAAACTGTTAAAGATGAAAGGTGTGATGCCTGAAGAATACCAGATGGGATCTCCCTAGTGAAAACTAGAGTTTTCAGAGGGGGAGTCCAGCCTGAATGACCAACTTACTGTTGTTTCGTCTTCTAGGAAGCAAGGTAAATATCTCCAAAATTTACCTGACAGAAAATGCCACTGAGCATGGAAATGTGGACATCCACTGCAGCCTTGAGGGCTCAGGGGACTCAACCTCCCTGTACTCTGTGACATGGTTCTGGAGCAGGGGAGACACCAGGCGTCACATGCTGGTGCACCTGCAGCACGATGGCTTGCTGGAGTATGGGGATGAGGGGCGCAGGAGACATCTGCACTGCTACCGTTCGTCTCCTACGGACTTTGTCCTGAAGCTGCATGAGGTGAAGGAGGAAGAAGCTGGGATGTACTGGTGCAGTGTGGCAGAGTGGCAGCTGCATGGCCATCCGAGCAAGTGGGTCAACCAAGCGTCAGATGAGTCACAGTCGATGGTGCTCAGAGTGCTTTCTTCAGGTAATGAGGGTTACTTTGCCACAGGTTTACGGTCATGAGAACATCTGGTTCTCCTTGTATGCGTTCCTCCCAGCCACAGTTTGCTTTCCTTCAAGGTGAAGATGCTTTCCAGATTCCCTAATGAAGATGGCTTTGCTATCTCTCTCAGGGCAATTCATTTGAACAAGGTCTATCTGAGGTTTAGGCAATAGATATTTAAGTAACAGATGCCTTTGTCTGACCTGTTCTGCCTTTCTGCTTCCAAACAAAAAAGCCATCAACATCATGTCCTTTTAAATAACCAAATAATGTGTGAACCAGACATTCTTAGCTCTTGGTGCATCTTACAGTTTCAGAAAGCTGTTTAGCAGTGGCAGTGAGAATGTGAGACACTGAAATGATGATTTTACATTTTGACCTGACTAAACCAGAATCAGTTACATCTAAATACAGCCCTAGTCAAAAACAAAAAAACAAGCCAGGTGCAGTTGTACATGCTTGTAATCCCAGCACTCGGGAGTCTGAGGCAGGAGGATTGCTGTGAGTTCAAGGCTAGCCTGGGATACAAAGTGAGTTCAAGTCAAGCCTGAACTGGAGAGTGAAACCTTGTCTCAAAAAGACAAAAAAAAAAAAAAAAAAAAAAGAAGAAAGAAAGAAAGAAAAAATAAAGAAAACAAAACCAGGACAACCTTTCTCAATCAATAATACTACTTTCCTTGTCTCTTTTTGTACTCAGAAAAAACCAGGACTTTGATAGTGATGGTGGTGTTAAGCCTTTCCATTATTACAACAAATACCTGACACAATCAACTGATAAAGATGAAAGGTTTACTTGACTCACAGCTGTAGAGATTGAAGTTCATGTTCTTTTGAGCCTGTAGCAGCACATCATGGTGGGAGCATTTAGTAGAGTAAAAGCACTCACTTCATGATTAGGAAGCAGAGGAGAGAAAGAGGAAGGGACTAGAATCCCACCATTGCCTTTAAGGACATGCCTCCAGTGACATAACAACCTTCCAAGGCCGCATCTCCTAAAACCTTCATTGCCTCCTAATAGAGAACAAGCTTAACCATGTGGACCTTTGGCGGACACTTACTACATAAACTATTGGGTGTGCTTCTTCTCACTGTGCCTTGAAAGACGTGAAGGGAGAAAGGGTGCCCTACAGAACGTATTTACATACTCCAGTAAGGACGGCAGCTACTCAAAGACCCTTGGCTAAAGAATGACCCTCCTCCATGTGAGAAGGTTGTCCTTCTCAGCCAGGCATATTATAGGCATTTATTAGGCATGTATTATTAACAAAAGCAAAACTTTCTCCATAGACCAGTAAATTTTCTCTGATGACCAACAGCTGGCTACACCAGCGGGCTCATTTTTTTAACTGCTTTGTTCCAGTGAGGTTGAAGGAAAAGATGAGAGGTGATTATAAAGCTAAACTTACCGTAGGGAAGGGCCATTGGAATAGAGTTGTGGTCTTATGCCTTACACCAAAAAGGGTAAATGAAGGTGATATTTCCAAGATACTAGCTGGCTTCTGTGACATTTCTTAGGAGGGCAGGAGTGTTACTGAGAATGTATGGCAATGCCTCAGAAGTAGGACCAGCTACATCTCAGCCACACACAGGCTTCTAGAGTGGAGGTCAAAGTTGTATAATTTGTTCCCTGGAGTGCTATCATCCTTGCCTATGTCTTTCTTTTTTTCTGAATTGAACCCATGGTCACTCTACAATTGAGATATATCCCCAGTCCTTTTTATTTTTTATTTTGAGGTAGGACTTTGCTGAGTTGTCTAGGTAGGATATGAACTTGCAAGCCTTCTGTCTCAGCCTCCCAAACAGCTAGGACTATAGGCATGTGCCACGGCCTCCTATGTCAGCTCCATGTCATTCCTCAGAAGATATTTTTTTCTCCTAAGTATCCAGGCAGAATTTTTTCTTATCAACTTTTCATTCTAACAGTTATAGGAAGTTCCATACCCCTGAGCACATTCCATATGTGTTTTCCCACTGGAATTCCTAGAGTCTATAGAATCAGCAGTTTTTGCAGTAGAATAAATAGATAACAACTGTGAGAAGTGCACATTGTGTGACTAGAAAGCACATCTCCTCTGAGGCAGTTGTGGTTCTTCATAATATATATGATATAGTTAATCTCTGTGGAATCCTTGTAAAACAGGAGTAAGGTTTTAAAAAGATGAACTCTGGAAAGGAAACATTAAAAATTGAGTGGTCTTTGTATTCTTCACAACCAAGAGAGCTCAAAAGCCTGTGCCATGACCCACTGAGGATTCTTAGTGAGACTCATATCAAGGATACTCAAGGAAATCCTTGTAACATAGAATCTGGCTTCCACCACCTCACTGTTCCTTTCTGAAGCGGGGGCAGTCTGAGGTGACGAAAAGTCCCCAGAGGCTGGAGTCAGATAAACCTCGGCTCACATCACAGCTTTTCCATCCACTAGTCATGAAATCACACCACAGTTACTTGACTTCTCAAAGCTTTGGCTTTCTCAGAAAATGAGGATCATAATACAAATGTTTTTAATATATCTAGGACAGTTCCTGAGATGTTGTAAGTACTAAAAAAGTGTGAATGTCTTTCCCTTATACCTCCAAACATGCTACACACAGGTATCCATCGATGTCACAAAATAATCTGTTGGATAAATATATTAGGTTCTGAGAACACAAAAATGTGTATGGCAGAGCATGTTCCCATGGAGTTTGTAGAGTAGTGGGGGAGTCAAATCCAGCATGATAGGTGTCCTCAAATAAGTGGTCCTAAGATGCTAAGGGAACACCGTGAGCTAGGGTGAAGGCCCAAGTGGGGAGAGTATCTGGAGGGTGCCCTAGGGTATGGAACCTGCAAAAGGAGAAAATATAGTTTAGTGAAAGGAAAAGGAAGGCAGTATGATAAAAACCATGACACTCCATGCTTAGAGAACTTCAGCAGTTGAGAATGGCAAAAACTGCACCCATGTGGTACAACGGCAAGAGAAGAGACTAGTAGAGTGGAAAGGACACAGATCTCAAGTGTGTCTAATGTACAAAGCTAAGGAAGTGCGCTTTATCATGACAGCTATGGAGTGTCCAAGGAAAGCAGTCACACCATCAGATTTGCATTTCAGAAAGTTCCTACAGGGAGTAGGGGAAAAGATGAATAGTTGCGAGGCAGACAGAGCAGGGAGAACTATTCAAAATTGTAGAACCAAGATGAGACAAGGTACAGGCCTGAGCTAAGGCAGTGTCAGTAAGACTGGGAGAACAAAAATTAGGTATTAGGAGGTGTTATCTTCTAGATTTAGTGACTGGTTAGATATATGTGGGCAATGAAAGCACAGAAGGGGGAAAATCAAGAGTGAATATTTGGCTTAGACAGATGATGGGGCCATTTACCCAGCAAAATAATGCAAGAAGAAGGTTTAGAGAGAAATCAGTCCAAGTTTGAATAATCTGAGCTGGAACTGAGCTTGTAGTACCTGTGAGTTGGAGAGAGGAATGTGACACATAGACATTGGGACTTCCAAATAGGATCTGAACCACAATTGTACATTAGGAGCCTTCAATATGTAGCCCGTAATGATCCTCAAGGGTGGACCTTGAGATGTACACCATTTATTAGGGGGATGGAGAAGCAGAGCCTATAATGGGGTCTGAAGGGAGCAGCCAGGAAGTAGGAGGAGAACCTGACTTTGGGCTGGGGATATGGCTCAGAGGCACAAGCACCTGCCTAGCAAGCACAAGGTCCTGAGTTCTATTCCCAGTACAAAAAAAAAAGAGAACCTGACTTTGATGCTATCACAGAAATCAAGCACAGAGGGGATATCAAAGGGGAAGGAGAGAACACAGACTGAACAGTGCAACGAGGCTGATTAAGATAAGAATGAAAAAGCCTCCATTGGTTTTGACAATACAGGACAACTTTAGAGAAGCAATGAGAGAAATCAGACTGAGGTAGGCCGAGCATGTGGACACAGCAAGTACAGACTACACTTTCAAGAGCAGTAGTTAGAGAAGACCATAGCAAATGGCAAGTAGTGTCAGGAAAAGTACCTTGCTTCTGGTTTTTTCAGATTTGGTTTAAAGATATGAAGGACTTGAGAACATTCACATTTTAGAGGGGAAAGAGCCAATAGAAAGGCAGAAGATAAAGTATAGAGTACAGTAGGTACGACTGACAGTCTAACATCTGGCCACCCAGATGTGCCACCCCCATACTGCAGTGCTGCTCCCTGTCTCCCTTTCCTGGTGACCATCTGATTACTCACCTACATAGTGAACTGCCACCATCTCAGTGACTTATCAGCACTCTTAGTCATCGCACCTATAGTTACTTGTTTAATAGTGCTCACCACCACTTGCATACACAAGACAAAAAAAAAAGACTTGGATGGGAAAGTCAATTCTTAAAGAAAACGCACGTGTCTATCACACTGAAATTTCTTGAGAGGCCATGTCATTTATGTTTTTCCACTGCCTTCAACAAGGCTTGGCACGTGGCCTGCAACAGAAACTTGAAAGGGTAGGGGTTCTTCAGTTAGACTGAACCAGGACTGGTTCACTTATACTGGTACACTTGCCATCCGGGAACTGTTATCTCTTGGCAGGAGCCGATCCTCTCCTATGACATGCACAGCCACTTTTCCAAGTTTTGAGTTGGTGGGTGGAGAGAAGTTGGTAGCCCCTTATTATTGATGCCTCTCAAAAGTCAGCATTTCTGAGCTACTGTCCAAAAGGGCTTCTATACTGTGTGTGGAAGCAAGTTATAAACTAACCCCATGATGAAGTATTCTCATTACATTTTGGCTCTGTTTTGAAGGCCTTTATTTGAGCATCAGGCACTTACTCAAATTGATTCCAAATGCCAAACCTTAATGGTTTTGAGTGTCACCAGTTCTAATCCAAATATGGGTGAGAGGCAGATGGTGGGAAATGGTGATTGTGGGATCCAGAGTAAACACTGCCCTCTCGGGAGAGGTAATTTAGAAGCACCAGAGCTGACAGTTGCTAGCTGTCAGCCAATTTAGCGCTCTGAAGAGTGCACTCTGCTGTCCTTTGATGGCAGACTGCTCTAAGTGGAGCAGCCTCCTCCCCATTAAGACAGTCAAGCTCTCTGGCAATCACTTCATGGTAAAGCTTCGTGTCCCAAGACAGAAATCCCATTACCAGATTTCTTCCTGCCTCTTATATGCCAGCCCCATCTCACTCTACCATCCTAGCAAGTGACACTTGGTACCACAGACATTCATAATTCTCTGCCTCCCATGACTAGAAAAGGAAGGTAGAGCCTCCTAAGTCTGTGGCTCTCAGCTGGATGTCACCCGGACCTGGGAACAGAAATATCAGTAATCCAAGAGAGTTAGCTTTCCATTGTTGTGTCAAAACACCTGAGATAATCAACTAAGAAAAGCTTTTTGGGGACTCACAGTTTTGAGCGTTCAATCTATGGTAGTTGAATGGCTTGTTGCTTTGGGTCTGTGATGAGGCAGTACCTCATGGCTGGAATGTGTGGCAGAGGAACCTGGTCATTTCATGACAGCCAGGAAATAGAGGAAAAGAGGAGACAGAGAGGGGAGACAGAAAGTCTCACAATCCCGTTCCCTTTCAAGAGCACCTCAGTGACCTATGACCTCCCATGAGGTCCCACCTCTTAAAGGCTCTAGGACTAAGCCTTTGACATATGGGTCTTTGGAGGACATTTTAGATCCAAACTATAAGCATAGGGCCAGTGGCACAATGGACAATGCGTCTGACTATGGATCAGAAGATTATAGATCCAAGTTATAGCACTTGTGGTCCCTGTGAGGAAGCAGTAGGCTCTCACCCTGCTGTCTGCCCGGTCTTTTGAAAGGTTACTTGTGATTTACTCAGCTTTCCCAGTAGCATTCTAGCTGATATTTATTGCTTGCTGACTAAACAAATGCTCTAGGTACTATGTTAAGTGCTGTATTATGCATGATATCAACACAACCCTAGAGATTATCATTTATGTTTGATTGATGAGGAAACTAATGATTAGAGATGTAACTTATCCAGTGTCAATAACAGTAAATTAAAGAGTGAGGATTTGAACCCAGCTCTCTGAAATGCAGTAAGTGCTCAGTTACTACTCTGGACAAATGTCCATGGCCAGTGCTCTTAACACCTGGACTCTGCTCCCTTCTCTCTCAGTATTGCAGGTTATGCCTTCTTTTGTATTCAAATTCTTTTTTTTTTTGTATTAGGAATCGAACTCAGGACCTTGCACTTGCCAGGCAGGCGCTTGTGCCACTGAGCTGTATCCCCAGCCCTCCTTCCTTTAACTGTACTTTCAAGTGTATTCTGTTGAGAACTGGTAGAAAAACTGTAGTCAAGCCAGATTATTCTGGAGATGAGTCCAGTAGAATGCAGGAAGAGGACTTAAAGAATTAAAATCTAGTTTTGCCATTGCTTCACCTTTCAAAAAGAAAAACCAAACTTAGGATGGAGAATATAAAGGAGACTAGACAAACTCTAAGCCATAAGCCTCAGCCATTCTTTTCCAGCCCCACTTGGAGCTGGCAGCCTGCAGGGAGGATATTTACTTTGCATGACATGAGTCAGCCACCCCCAGGTTCCTGTGTGGTCAGCACTCATGCTGTTGACCCATTCACCAGGCTCCACGGAGGTCCAGTGGGCAAAGTGCTGTACAAGATCTCAGGCACCCCAGGCCCTACCCTACAGCAGCACACAGTGTGGGACTTGAGCAAATGTCTAGATTCTATCTTGATTCCCAAGAAAAGGATGCTCTTCAACATGTAAAATGCATCAGCAATATCAGCAATGGAATTCTGGCAGTGGGAATTTGGTCACAAAGACCTTTAACCCTGTGTTCATCTCTGAGAATCTATAATCCCATGAATCCTATAGCTTAATCTTTGAGGAAGAAATTGCTTATATCTTTACAATTTTCCAAGAAAAGCACAGCTATTATTAGCAGCAGATTTTTTTCAGAACAATCCTGATTTCAAATATGATGTCATAAGTAAGTAACTAGGAAACTACATTTAATGGTTGGTATCTCTTTAAGCATATGACTTTCTGCTTCAGAGTCTGTAAACCTGGTTATCTGACCAGTGGCTCAGGGCACCATTTCCTGGAACCTGTGGTATTTGCAGTCTTCCTGCTTTGCTTCCCTGACCAGGGAGGATGGTACATGCTCTGCATGTCTGTCTGCTGATAGTGCTTCCCAGGGGACTGCAGATGGTGGAGGATCATAGGCTTCAGCAGGCCTTTACATAGTATCTCTGGCCCATGTGTTTGCAGCCAGTTTGATTTAATTCAGATCAGCAAAGCTACTGAGCACCTGTGCTAGGCACTGTAGGGGAAGCAAAAACAAACGACACCAGCAGATATATTCAAGTAACTCTAATGAGCCAAAGGACATAGTGAAACAGAATGGAAGAGTCCAAAACAAAGAGTTTTGTGAGAGGGGACAAGAAGAGGAACTGTGCCCAAGGCAAGGTAGGACACACTGGCAGAGGAAGTGTGATCCAGTTAAACCCAGAGGACCCAGAAGATTATGTGCCAGGAATGACCTTCTAGGAACACAAGGAGGATCCCTAGAGGTGGATGCTTGGGGGCCACCATGGGTCAGGAGAGAAGTGCTTGCTGGGCAGGTGCAGCTGTGTAAAAGGAAGGTGCAGTGGTGTGTGTGTTTCACAAGCAGCTGTGGGAATACTTCACTGAAAAATTCAGGACAGGCAACACAGTGAGAATGAGGGCTGAATTATAGATATCTTTTCTGAAGGAAGAAGATTAAAGGAGAGTTTTCTTCTTTTTTTGTTGTTTTGTTTTTCATTTTGGCTGGTAGTTTTAAGTAGGTCACTGGAAGCAGCTCTGTTGGTTGGCAAATGTTGGGCAAGTGGGAATTGCGCAGCGTGTGCCTGGGGGCCTCTCCTCGCCCCATCCTGTGCTCACACATACAAATTAAGGGGTAGTGCCACTTGGCCCCATTATTTTTACATACATTTGCTTGTAACAATAAATGGAGAAGTGCACGTGATTGATTAGTTCATGTAAGCTATGTACTGATTGTTCTGTGTTTTTTGCTCTTTGGTTGCAGAGCCCACGTTTCCTGCCAGGATCTGTTCCTCAGCACCTTTACTCTATTTCCTAGTTGTCTGCCCCATTGTCATGTTTGGTCTTCTGTTGATTTCCCTCCTCTGCTTATACCAGAAGGCCAGGAAGTTGTCAAGGGAGAGTCTCAGCGCACAGAAAGAAAAGGCTCTTTGGGTAGGCATGAAAGGGGCTGGAGGCTGGACCGCAGACAGAAGAGAGGAGGAAGAGGAAGATGAACACAACTGAATCCTGAGAGGTGCCTGCAGCTGCAGTGTGCTGGGACTTCTGAACTGGACTGGCTGGGGCCTGAAAGAATTCTGATTCTGTCCTTTACCATGTCTGGGGCTCTGTGCATGTCACTCAGGGCTCGCAGGGAACATTTAGGGAGCACTTACGTGCTGCCTGGAACTGTAAGTGCTTCTTTGTGTATTAACCTGCCTACCCAGTGTAGCCTTCAGGAGTAGATAACATCATTATCCTAGAGCCTCCCTCCCACAGCCTGGGCCCTCACACAGCATGGAGGAGCAAATGAGCTGCTAACACAGAGCCCTGGGTGGGCCTTCCCTCTCCTCCCACCTCTTACACCACTGATTCTCCTGGAAACTCTGGCTCCAGGTGATCTTTTTGCTCTAGGTAAGAAACATAGGAATGAATCTGGTGTCAGCAAGGCAAAAGGAATTGAGAACACGCTCTTTTTTACTTCAAATCTGCCTCTGCAACCAGAATGTAACTTCTTTCCAGGGAGAAATCCAATTATCTTCCTCTAGCTCATCTACAAATGCCCACTCGACAGCTTAAAAGTAGGAGAATCAGTATTGATTCTTTGATAAAATGATAAAACATTTTATACACTGATGGGAGGGTGATTGTTTTTGTGCTACAAGACTTAAGTCATCATGAAGGAAAACTCTTCTGTTCTTGGGGGGTGGGGTGTTTGTGCGGCAATGTATCGTCCATGTCTCCCCACCACCAAAAGCCCATGGCTCTTGGTACTTTCTGTGACCTGACAGTCTTGGGTAGTAGGAAAAGACTGTGGTAGATCTGGAGGAGGAGAGGTCACAGGGCCACCACCCCTCCTATTCTAGCAGAGCTAGGGTTCAAGACAAGCAGCAAGGAAAATCTGATGCTTAACGGTCCCCCAATTCACAGGCTGGAAAATTCCAAGGATAGGGCCAACATGCCATGTCTTCAGCAGGTGTCTCTGCAGGGCCTAGGGGCCCTCACCTTTATTTCAAAAGCTATTCAGACGCAGGTTTAGCCATAATTGGAAATCAATCAATGCCACCTAACAGACTTGACAAAACACCTCTATTTATCATCTATGTGACCAACAGGGTTGCTTTAGCATTCAGTAATTTGCATTTCCAAGGAGAGCAATTTATTTTTAATTATTTTATCAAGTACACAGTCCTCTCCAAATGTAATTAGTTCCTTTGCTCCTTTGCAAGCAGATTATTGGTGGCTGTGAGAACTTCCTCCACAGACCTGCGGATTCCTTAAATTCATCTCCCTTTATAGCCTCATCTGAAGTACTCCAAATGTTTTCTTAAACATGTCAACACATTTACTTCTCTCTCAGGTAGGGGAGCATATTTTTTCTGCACACAAAGCTGAAATTAAGACGTCTTAGAGAGTATGATAACCCGTTCTCCCATTTTTTAGAAAACTTTATTTTAATTGGGATTTTGAAGAGAAAGAAAATGGAGCCCCAACCAGAGAATCCTAGAATGGATGGCGTGCTGCCCATTTTCCTGGAGCACCCACACCCCACCGCCTCACCTCTCTGACCTGGGTGTGCTTTCTGCTCTCTACTCAAACAGCACTTCTCACCTTTGAGCCCTGCACTGGGCAGGGGCACGCAGGGCTATCAAAGGCTCCCTCCTACCTCAGTAAAGCAGCGGGAGTGTTTCCCAGGAAGTGCTTCCACCCATCGAGCACCATGGCAAGTGCAGGGCCCAGCAGTGACTCAGACACAGCTTCCTCCCATCTGTTCTAGATGCTCTCTAGACCTAGAGACCTACGGCACATTAGGTTTTCTTAGAAACTTAAGAAAATCTATTGCACTATTTGTCCATTGTGAGTTTTTAGACAACTAAAACCTCAGAGTCATTTTTCAACTTTTGAACTTTTAGAAAAAATTTTGCTGTGATTCAGTTCAACAGATACATTACATGAAACTTCCCTCCAGTTATGCACTTGCTCATTTTAATGTTTGAAACCTAATGGAGAGCTTCACTTTCACTCATTGCTTTCAACTTTTCCATTCTGTATCACCTGGTTTTGCATTCAGCTTTTTTTACATAAATCTTCTTTGGCAACAGGACAAGACTCTATCTCAGGGATTAGCAAACCGTGGCTCAAAGGGCCAAATCCAGCCTACCATGAGTTTTAAAAATATAATTTATTAGAATAGAGTTGCTCCTGTTCGCTTTCTATCTATGGCTGCTTTCATGGTAAAATGGTAGAGCTGAATAACTGCCAAAGAAACCAGATAGGCTACAAAGCCTAAAATGCTTACTTTTTGACCCTTTACAGGAAGTTACCAACCCTACTCTCTTCTGATGTTTAATATTCTGTCTGTCTTGGCTATGTATTATGTTTCTGGGAAACTTGATTTGAGCTATTATATCTCAATCTGTTATGAATCTGATTTGACTTAATAAATAATCTTAGGCCCTCAGGATTGCTGTTTAGTCCAAGCCATTCTGCAGTTTGAATCCTTCCTTTCAGGCTCATGTTAGAGCTCATCACCCCTGCACAATTCCACACCACTGTATTGCAAACTTATTCTGTGCAAGGCAAGTTGACACAGAAATAAATAAGGCATGGTTATTCCCAGAGGAATAGTAATTTATGTGGAAGGTGAATGCAATGATAGAAATTTTATGCCAAGATAATTTCTCACAATTGCACATGATCTGTTCATCATCTCAGTCTTATGGCATCCCTACAGAAAAGAGATTATTATCTCTGTCCTCTGAGTAAGGAATTAAAGCTCAGATAGCTTGGGATTTATCCAGGATCACATAGCCATAAACAGAGCCCCCCACCCCCGCAAGAAAAAACCCATAAGAGTCCAAGTTGAGGTCCTCTGATAAAATCTGGACAAGAAACACCATTCTCAAATTCATTGCTATGGGTAAACCTGCTGGTAATAATACCAACCTCACCTGGTTTTTCTGGTGACCAAATTAGATACTTTCATGGAGACAAGTTTTAACCATTTCAAATAGTAAATGAATGTCAGTGTAAGCCACGTTATCCTAATTCCTGTCTGTCTGTGCACATAGTGAAATGAAATCAATAGTAGTAATTCACATTCTACAGGCCTTCACCACAGGTCACTTACACAGGGTTTTGGGCATCTACAATGTCTTTCAAATACTTCTGGGAATTCCCCAGAATCCTGAGAACTCCTCTGAGCTCACAAGCAAGGATATCCCCACGATTCCTGGCTGCTCTGTTCAGCTCTCAAGCTCTGTGGCAGTTTGGATGCTGGACCACTGGAGGTGCCAGGCTGCATATTTTCTGTGGTAAGCATGGAAAGTGCCTCACCTTCAGTCTGTCTTTGCATTACACTCTGCTATAGGGGGATGGATCCAAGATTGCTTCTACCTTTATGTCTGTAAATACTCTCTTGTACAAACAATTGTATTTGCTTTTGCCAAATTTCTTCTTTCTTTATACAGTCCAGACACCACCTAGTCTGGGACCAGGCTGAGAGAGAGAACATACTATGTGCTCTCCATTTCCCACTTTACTTCCCAAGCACCTATGCTGTACCCTCTTCCCACTGTTCCTTTTTCTTCCTGCAAGTAGCTGATGCAGTTTTGCTTATGGAGAGGTTCAGGGTCAGAGAAGTCTGCATTCCCTGTAGGCTCAAGAAAGAGTTCTGTTACACCAGCTATTAATGTATAACTATAACGTAGTAAAGTGCAACTGGTACTAGAAATAAGAGAAAACTTTACCAAGAAGATATTATTTGATGTGGGCTTACAAGCACTGAAATATATTAATAGGAGAAGTTGGGGTCTAGGCAGGGGGAACATAAAAAGTATAGTCTAGCTTTGGTTTAAGTGTCAGTTCTCTTGAGGAACAGTGAGAGATAAGTGTAGAAAGAAAAACAAGGGCTAGGGATATAGCTCAGTGGCACAGCGCTTGCCTGGCAAATACAATGTCCTGAGTTCAATTCCCAGTGCCAAAAAACGCCCCCCCAAACAAAGACAAAACAAAATTCAATGGATGGGAAGGGGCAAGAGAACAGATCTTGCACAAGAACTTGGACTTTGTATGGATGACAATGGTGAGCAGCTGTGCCTTAGCACAGATGTTGGCTGGGGTTGGGGTGAGGAAGTTGGTGTTACCAAAGAGAGGCACAGCAGCCAGCTGCAATACAATCTTCATTTTTCTAATTTTTATAAATGGAGATAACACCAATTTTGTGAGTGTTTTATGTATAGAGCAAAATTATCAGGAAGTTTTGAGTATCACATCAGACCCATAGAAGTAGCTAAAATATATGTCAAATACAATGAGATATGTTATAAGATTCTTCTTGTGCTTAGTAAGTATTTGTTAACCTAATTTCCTACCAATGAATATAAGGGCCAGTTACATTCGTTCACTATCTCCACCGGTTTCCAATTTAGTTTTCTGATGCTTACTTTTATGCTTAATGTACTTATTAGAAATGTGAAGTTCTAACATGTTACCTCAGAACACAAGGCTCCTTCTACATCAGCTCTGACAACCAAACAGAGATGTTTTGACTAGAAGCATAATTATCACATTAAGCTATTTGCTGAGACAAAATACCACATCAGATGAGGACAGTGATTAAGTGTATTTGCTATAATTAACCAGTAGAGAAAAATCCAAATTTTCTGCTCCTTTAAGGTTATAGTGGCAGGGGTGGAAAGGGTGTGAACTTCCAGTTTAAGTTACCTTTTTCAATAGTAGGAGCCTGGGTCAGTTTATCCTAGTTCTGTTCTGGTACTCTGTGCTCTATCCATGCCAAAGTACTTGCTGGCTCCCAAATGTGTTCCTCATTTTGCATCTGTCACTCTGGAAGACTTTTCCTCTTCTATGACCCTGAACACCCCCACTGAATTGACCTCAGACTTGCCAAGGGTGTTCACACAAGATACTGGGGAAAAACAGTACTGTTTTTCTCTCATTTACATGTTCTGGACTGGATCATGTTCAAGTAGAGAGAGGCACAATACAGACCACAATCTTGGAGAGTCCACTCTCCCCAGTCATTCCTTTGGTAGCTGTAAGGCTATGATCCCCAGCAGCACTCTGTTGGGCTGTTTCTCTGTGACCTGATGGCGTGGACATGGAGAAAGCCAGCCATATAAAACCTGCCCTATATCACTGGTGCAATTTTACAGCCTACTACTTTACTTCATGTACAAGACAAATGGCTCTTCAGTGTGAAGGATTTTCAGCATGTTTTAGTTATAACAAAAATCATTAAGAGTACTGGGCCACACACTATGACATTACTAATGTCTCACACTACGAGAACACACTATGACAATACTAATTCAGGTGCTTTGATAGCACACATGTGCATATGTAGTGAGGTCCTAATTAAAACATGTATCAGTAACAGTTCTTTGGATACATTAATACTATAGACCAAGGATCATCAACTTAGATGTTTCGGGATCTAAGCAGGTAAATGGAAAGAAAAACAATTGGTGGGATGGTCTTCAGGGAGTGATGAAGACTACAGCAATTGGAGCATGCGTTTCTATTTAAAAGCACTCAGATTCCACATAAGATATAAGATATTACACAAGTAATTAAAACACTCTAGAAGATGCAGTTCTTTCCTTTGTAGTTCTGCTTCACATCCTAAAGCCATCAATAGGCACCACATCTCTGCAGTCAAAACAGCATCTGAAGATTATGCTACATCTAATGATCATGACTGTTTGCCCGTGTTTTCATCTAGAAGCTTTATCAGTTTACCACTCAAAAGTAGGTCTATAATACACTTCGGATCAATTTTTGTAAAAATTATATTTTATGTGTAAAATGTACAGGAGAAACCTTAAACACTACTGATAGGAATGTAAAATGGTACAGCTATGAAAAAACAGCGAGCTATTTCCTTTCATTTCTTCGTTTTATCTTACTAAAAAAATAGAAATAGAATTACCATTTGATCCAGCAATTCCACTTTGGGTCTATTCTCAAAATAACAGTAAGCAGGAACATGTGGAGATTTTGTATGCCCATGTTTACGGCAGCATTGTTCTCAATAGTCAAAAGGTAGCAGCAACCCAGTGTCCACTGATGGATGAATGGATAAACAAAATAAACTACATGTGTGTCAGCTTCGCATCACTGTGAAAAAAATACTTGAGATAGACAATTAAAGGAGGAAAAATTTGGCTCCGGATTTCAGTCCACTGTAAGTAAGCTGGCTCCATTGCTTTTAGGCCTATGGAAAGACAGAAACATCATGGCAGAAGCTCACAGCAGGGAAAAGCTGCTCAGCTCATGGCAGCCAGAAAGCAGAAGGACTGAAAGAGCCAGAGGAGAAGGGGCTGGGGACCAGAGATAGTCCCAAGGCCGTATCTCCACACTCCCTGCAGCTAGGTCCCGCCTCCTGTCTCCATCATCTCCTAATAACAAATCCTAACTATAGGCTCATCAATGGGTGAATCCACTTGAAACAGTCACAATCCCCATAATCTAATTATTTTCCAAAAGTCCATCTTCTGAGCGCATGAGTTTTTTTGGGGGGGCACATCTTATTTTTTTATTTATATATATATTTTTTGAGGTAGGGTCTTGCTATGCAGTTCAGGGTGGTCCTGAACCCACAGCAATCCTCCTGCCTCAGCCTCCTGAGTATTGGGATTACAGGCATCACCACCACACCTAGCTACTGGGGGTACATTTTAGATCTAAACTATAACAATATGTTAGGAAATATTGGTCATCTTTAAAAAGGAAGGAAATTCTGACAGATATCACAACATGGATGAACCTTAAAGAATTATGCTAAGTAAAGTAAACTACTCACCAAAGGAAAAATATGCTATGATTATACTTATAGTCAGAGTAGTCAAGTTATAGAGACAGCAAGTTAAATGATGGATACCAGGGTTGGTAGAGCAGGTAATAGGGAATTATTATTTATTGCATTACAGAGTTTTTATTTTAGAAGACAAAAAAGTTCTGGAGATAGTGGTGACAGTTACACAATATATGACTGAATTTAATGCCACTGAAATGGATACTTAAAATGTTTAAAATAATAAACTTAATTTTATGTATATTTATATATTATATATGTACATTTTAGCACATTTAAAAGTAAAATAGCCAGGCATGGTGACACATGCCTGTAATTCCAGCACTTGGGAGGGTGAGGCAGGAGGATCACTGTGAGTTCGAGACCAGCCTCAACTGCATAGTGAGACCCTGTCTCAAAAATATTTTTTAAAAAAAGTAAAATAAACTGGATATCATTATACACACCTGTAATCCCAGCATTTGGAAGTCTAAGTCAGGAAGATTTTGAGTTCAAGTGCAGCCTGGTATTACTTAGCAAGATCATATCTCAAAAAACAGAAAAAAAAAATGAGATAAAGGTCAAAATTCATTTCTGTCCATATGATTCTCTCATTGTTCCAGTATCATATTTTTAAAAAGAGTATCCTTTTTGTAGTACAGAGGCATCT